ATGACCTTCGGAATACCCCCTGAGAAAAAATCCGCCACTGAATGTCAGCGAACAGTTTAATTAGGAACCTGATGCTGGTGACTGTGACCTCTTCAAATTTCAGACTAATGTAAGAGCTTTAAGTTGATTCTAATTATATAACCGTTGCAGAAGCTATATGCAAAGTGTGGGCTAATACGAGTGATCTGAAATTTTAGATTGTCGGCATCTTCTAAAAAAAACACACAACAGATGGAGCCTATGACCCTCAGCAAACCTACCGGAGTACGTATGACAAATCACCTAGAAAACATGTTCTCTAAATTAAGATATTTTGGGTCCTGGAATGTGTGTGTGTGTTACCTACTTAACAATTTTGGGGACAAATTTGTTCCCAGAAATGAGCTAAACCTGACAGAAGCTCCCAAAACATCCTACTGGTAATATCTTCATTTGTAAAATTTGAATAAAAATCACATACATATTTATTGTTTGTTTTCTGTTAGGGTTGGGTTGCAGTATTTAATAACTAGCTGTATTCAAAAACAATAAAAATCTATAGAATGTCTCCATTTACAGTAGATAGCTGTAAACATGCGCATGTGTATGTGTGTGTGTGTGTGTGTGTGTGTATGTGTTGTTATACTTTTGAGGACCAAATGTTCTCACTAACATAGTGGAATTTAATGACAACCGATTTGTGAGGACATATTATGTGTCCTCACTAATTAAAAGGCTCATAAATCAGCCAAATCACACTTGTATTTGAATCTAATTATGTGCAGGTTTCTGTGAGAGCTGTTTGATTGGTTAGGTATGACAGAAAATATCATTAAACCAAAAGAAATAGAAAAATAATGGAAGCCTTTTCAGATGTCCTCACTAACATATAATACATCTTCTAATATCTGTGTGTGTGTGTGTGTGTGTGTGTCTGTGTGTGTGCGTGTGTTACTTCAGTATTTAAAACACTTAAATCGCCAGGGGTCGTTGTATGCCTAAAACCGCCAGCGGGTAAAATTTACCCATGCACATGACTACTGTTTTGATATGGCTAAAAAATGTATTATGTCACTGTGTTATGCTACTGTCTTCACAAGGTAATGACTAGAGTCATAAAATGATTATTCTTAGTCATCAACTACGTATTTGTCCTGATGTCTTCTGTTCAAGGCTATATTAAGCAGGCTACACTAATCACTTTTCATAACGGTGAATGTAGGCTAAACCAGCCTGCAATGACAACGGAAATTAGAAGGAAATAAATACATATTTGGGTGGTGTAATATTCCAAGATGGCGCTGCTGGGTTCGGACGCCATCCAGGTCGCTCCACTTAGATTGTGCTTTTATTTACTTTTGTACTTTCTTTTGCTCTCTCTTTTTACACACATATCGTCTGCACTGATCACTTACGACAAAAGAACACTTTTGGACATTGGACACCGCTACACTAACCTGTTTCAGGACACTTTATCCTCCAACCCATCGTGGCCATCTGAGATTCTCCGGAACGCTGAGATGAACAATGGCCACCTGAATAACCCACCGCGGCGACGGATTAAGAAACACCGCGGGAATCGCGCTGGGATTCGTAACAGACTGAGGCAAAGAGCACACAGCCCTCCTCTGCCGAGCATTCTGCTTGCGAATGTCCAATCCTTAGAGAATAAGGTGATCCCCTCTCTACAGGACATCTACCTCAAACGCAGCAAAAACAGAGATGTTAAAATCATCAAGGACTCCAACCACCCTGGTAACGGTCTTTTCATTTTGCTGCCATCTGGTAAGCGCTTCCGCAGCCTGATGGCAAAAACCGAGAGACTTAGGAGGAGCTTCTTCCCCCAGGCCATCAGGCTCCTAAACTCAAATAAAAAATCTTGAATCTTGAATCTTGAATTGTAATAAAATGTTTTAAGATAACCCATGTTATTTAAAGGGGTCATATAATGCGATTTCAAGTTTTCCTTTCTCTTTGGAGTGT